AAAATACCTGGTCAGAAAACCTTTAAGCCGAAAAAAATAAAGACTGAAGATATATGGAAAGTTGTTAAGTCCCCATCGCCCTCAAAACACGCAAACACTCAGAAAACTTAGTTTTCTCGTCAAATGAAACAACATGAGATCACTAAGCCGATATAATAAAGGTCGAAACCAATCAAGCCGAAAAAATTTGAAAAAAAAACTAAAAAATTCAAAAAAGTTTGGACTAATGAGTAGTTACTGTCACCCTCACGCTCAAAATACAGACACGAACACACGATCATTTTTCGCTCGTCGAAACACGCAATATGAGGCCAAAAAGCCGATATAATATACGCCGACACCTATCAAGCGGAAAAAAGGAAAAGAAACTACAACTAAAAACCTTCAAAATGTTGTCTGGGATGATGTTCTTTTTGCTTAAAACACGTCCAGAAACACATTTGACGGCGTTTAATGAAAATTGAAAAAAAGTTTGAACTATAAATTTCAGTCTGAGATTATGGTTTCTTCGAACGACTCAAAATTAGGTGAGTAATCCAAAAAAAAAATACCCGAAATAATTTAGGCCGAAAACTTTTTAAGGGAAAAATCCGCAGTCAAGATTTGTAAAATAAAAAACAGCAGAGGTAAATCAGAACAGTTAAAGCAACTTTAATGTTTAAAAAAGAACAATTCTACAACATGGCAACTAAGCCAAAACGAAAATGGCCAATTTGATAATTTTGAGATAATTTAAGCGCAATACAGATCCCATTTTCTGCTAGCGCGGAGCAAAGGGCAACGAATATCCGGCTCAAAAAATAAAAGCATGTTAATAAAATCGAACATTAACGAGCACCCTTGTTCAGTTTTTACAGGTATGACTTATGCAACTTCAGGCGTGTAAAGGCGGAAAACCTTAATAATTGCCCTCGTTGGCATCTTTGACTTTTATCGTTAACTGATAATACCTACAGCATAGCTCTTTTCGTAGAGTCTTAAATCAAGGGTAAAAAATTAAGTGATCTTAGTTTTTTGTAGGACTGAAAAAATTGATATGCCTTCTATATGTTATGATTGTTGCTCCTATTATCAAAAAAATTTAAATTTTATGCTCGAGGATGATTTTAAATCAGATCCAAGTTCAGCGGTCAAAACTGTAAAACTTCAATTTAAATTTTAAACACCCGAATGTAGACTTTGACTAGGATATCAAATTAAAAAATACAAATGATGCCTCCTGTTTTTTTTTCAAAAACATTTATTGCTCTTGTTGAGAGGATGATCCTATATCAAATCAAACCCTGACAAGCTTGTAATTAAAGATTTTTCCATGGAAAAGACGAAGCAAAACACGGTATTTCACCCGACTGTTTCAATATTATATGTGAATAAGGATAGCCGGTTACTCTGCAAGTAGCACAGAATGTTCCAAGTCTTAAAAAAAAACATTTTTTTTCCAACTTAGTGTGATAAAAGAAATTGAATTAAAAACAAGAGCTTAAGCATATCCGAGAACCATAGTAAAATACGCAAATGGGAAAACAATTTTTCGAGAAACAGGACGTAAAAAATCGTAAATTCATTTTTTGGCAGTTTCTTGAATGTTTGAAGTATTGACTCCAAAAGGCGCTAAAATGCTCGAAAAACACTAACTTTAATTAAGTGAAACTAAGTTTTTACGGCTTAAAATAAGCTATTGCAACCCTGCTCGCTCGCATCAAGACAATCAAAAAATGAAACCAATTTTTCTCGACACCGGTAAAATTTTCTCGACTTTTTAGTGTCATTCGAATCACGATTGAAAGGGCTTTAATATGATATATCACTCAACTTTCTCCGATGATTATTCCTGGCAGCTGATTTTGCATGGAAAACAAAATAAAAGAAAAAATAAAAAAAACCGAATACAAAGCTCCTCCATGTTTTTTAAATGGTCGGAACAATAAATTTATTTTAAAAAAGAGAAGTTTAAAATTGTTTGGTTTGGGGATCATACAGCTTTACTTTTGCGGGAAAAAACCTGATAGTTCCATTAACTAGCATTGAGGGAACTTTGTCTACATCTTAAGTTGTTTTTGAATGAGCTTATGCGTCGGGCATACAAAGAAGATATGAATTTTTGACAAAACTCAGAATCTTCCGGCTCGGTAATATTTGAAAATAAGGAATGGTAAATTAATTTTTGCAGAAAATCTAGGCGAAATGAAAGACAAAAATTTTTAAGAGAGCAATTAATTAAGCTTCTCAGCAAAGTGGACCGCCGCACTCGGTCACTTCAATTTAGACGGCAAAAATTCCCGTAAAAGCGCGTATCGGCGCATTAAAACACATTAATTGGTCTCATTTTTGTTATAACGCCCCACTTTTGACAAATTACAAGAAGTTCAAAATTCTTGTTACTGCATACTTGTTATAACAAAAAAATTTCGTTGCAAAAAAGTTGATCTAATGAATGAAAAAATTAATCCAGGAAAAAACGAAAACCAATAGAAAATAGCAAAAAAAACAACGATAACTGTCTAAACAATAGCTAAAAAATAATAGTACTGGACGGGTTATGTTAACGTTATCGGTCAAAATTTGTAATTGCAAGAGTAGCATAAATAGACTGCATTACCTCAAAAACTTTCAAAAAAACATATAGCTGGTTATTGTGCAAGTAGCACAGAATGTTCCCACCATAGAATTCGAAAACAAAAAACTTTAAAAAAAAAATTAGTGTCATTTTTCTGCGTGGTGTGACAAAAAACCTGAACCAGAAACCAGAGCTTGGGCTTATTTGACAGTGATAGTAATTTGAGCAAACAGGACATCAAAATTTGTAGAAAACGTTTGGAAAGAGAAAAAAATAGGAAGATTCAAATTTTCAATTTTTTTTTCTGAAAATTTTCGAATTTTAGATTCTCAAAATGGCGTTAAAAACTCCAAAAACTACTTTTACTTGATTAAAACTCAGATTAAGCTAAAATATGCTATTGTAAACGGCTTAATTGACGCATAATTTAACCTACTTTTTCCGCTCGAAATTAGACAGGTGAAGCTGAGCTTCGCACCACTTGCGATACAAACGAGAATGTTTTTTTTTTTGAATTCGAAAATGTTGAGAAAACTAGTTCTATCAAAATGATTAAGACTATTTCTCACACAAAACATGCCAAAACCATAGAATGAGAAATAAGCATCGGAACATAAGGTACATATCGGTAACAAAGGCGAAAATACCTGGTCAGAAAACCTTTAAGCCGAAAAAAATAAAGACTGAAGATATATGGAAAGTTGTTAAGTCCCCATCGCCCTCAAAACACGCAAACACTCATAAAACTTAGTTTTCTCGTCAAATGAAACAACATGAGATCACTAAGCCGATATAATAAAGGTCGAAACCAATCAAGCCGAAAAAATTTGAAAAAAAAACTAAAAAATTCAAAAAAGTTTGGACTAATGAGAAGTTACTGTCACCCTCACTCTCAAAATACAGACATGAACACACGATCTTTTTTCGCTCGTCGAAACACGCACTATGAGGACAAAAAACCGATATGATAAACGCCGACACCTATCAAAAGGAAAAAAAAACTTTAACTAAAAACCTTCAAAATGTTGTCTGGGATGATGTTCTTTTTGCTTAAAATACGTCCAGAAACACATCTGACGACGTTTAACGAAAATTGAAAAATAATTTGAACTTTAAATTTTAGTCTGAGATTATGGTTTCTTCGAACGACTCAAAATTAGATGAGTAAGCCAATAAAATATCACCCGAAATGATTTAGGCCGAAAACTTTTTAAGGGAAAAATCCGCAGTCAAGATTTGTAAAATAAAAGACAGCAGAGGTAAATCAGAACAGTAAAATAAACTTTAATGTTTAAAAAACAATTCTACAACATGGCAACTAAGCCAAAACATATGCAGACAAATATAAGCCGACAATTTTTTTTGAAACGGACTAAATCCCGTTTGAAAAAAAAACAGATACCGTCAGATTCAAGCCCAGGACTTTGTCGTCCCAGGCGCATTCGTTACTTCCACACTAGATATGCACAAGACGCAAACAAATTTGAATTCATTGTGAGCTGAATTTAAATTAAACATCTGATTATGACCATTCTGTGAACAAAAATATTTACGGGAAAGAAGTCTAGTATCCGATTGCAATACCCTTGCTTATGGCAAGGGGTAACGAACAAAAATTCGAGCAGGTTTTCTCAACTCAGAATTTCAAAATTCTTTAAGGTCGTTCCAGTCACGACTGAAAGGTTTTAAATATGATCTATCACTCGACCCATTCCGATGATTATTTGAGGCACCTCATTTTGAGTGGAAACAAAAAAAAACTAGAAAAAACCCGAATACTAAACTCCTCCCCATTTTTCAAATGGTCGGAACAATAGAAAAAAATTGAGCATAAATAAACATCGACACTACTACCTATACATTTCGTTGTTTTTTCTTGGTTCATTGACACCTCAAATAAAAGTTAAAATTCGCACACCAAAGACCTTCACATAGTTAAAATTCATAGCGAGATACCTATTTAAAGTGTCCCTTAAGTAAAGTCAATGTCACTTAAGTAATTTTCAAACTTGATCCGTAAAAATTTCCATTTACAATACCATGAATGATTTTTAACTGCCTCACGTAACTTCGTTCCTCGAACTTTAAAAACAAAACAGTACCCACCCTCAAGTAAAGTTGATATATCAGAACTTTACTAGAGGGTGGGGCACAGTTTTGTTTTTAAAGTTCGAGGAACGAAGTTACGTGAAGCAGGTAAAAATCATTCTCATTTATTTATGGTCAAAAATAAAATTTGAGCGTATTTTAAAAGTTTCCTGACGAGTTGACTGACAGAAAACTGAAGGTGACTCAGAACCCATTTTGCAAATCAACGAACACAATACTTTAACGAGTCATTTCATTTATATTTAAACCCAATTTTTTTTTCAATTAATTAAGTTAGTGTTAAGTAGTTGTAAAAATGAAACTGACTTTCATTTAAAAGACATAAATTACTAACCTTAAAGATAAAATTCAGTAAATTGCTCGCGGGTTGCCAATTCGTTGCCAGGATCTATTGTTAGCCATGCAAAGTAAAACAAAAAAACAGAATTTGTCATAAATTCGAGAATACATGACTTCAGATAACGAAGTTTCGAGTTCAAAGGTGAATGATCGAGTTTTAGTTAAAGAGCACTTTTGTCGTTTATTGTGCTGCGTTGCTGATTAGCTTTACTGGCCACTTATGTGATTTGGAGAACAAGCTCATAATGATAATTAATACATGTCATAAAAAATGTGAAAATATGCAATTCACGAATGAAAAAATTGTGTAATCAAAAAATATATAAACTAATTAACATAATCCGAAACTAAAAAAAATGACTGAAACATTAAAATATCTTAGTAATAAAGTGTTCGAGTTTCTAAACTGCTGTTTGATTAGATGACCGGAACACGAAGCAGATCGAGTAAAATATGTCGTTTTACAGCAGTTTTTTCGAGACAGCAACTGCTTTTCAAACGCTACTGATTAGAAAAATGGCGTATCTAATTTATGAGACATTATTTTGAATGACAAAAAATCAAATTTTGTGCTTTTGAAGTAGAACTTCTACAGCCACAAAAACACAATAAATGAAATCATCTTTAATGTATGAGCTTCAGTTCCGTCATCCGAAAAATAAACAATTACTGATCAGAGAGAAGCGGAAATAAATTAATGATATTCTCCAATCCCAAAATGATCCGGCGAAGTACATTTGCATAAAATATTCATTTATCGCAACCAAATGATAAAATAAAAAGCCATTCTTTTGTAGTTTTTTTTTTCATTGACAAAACGCACAAATAATTGGCAATGCATCGGAGTGAAAAGCGAGGAATTATGACTGCAACTTCTTATTGTAGTCGGCCTTTATCCTTCGGTCAATTGTCTAGTAAATTTCGTCACCTTCTTCGCCCGAAGGGTCTAGTTAGTAATACAATATCGTTAACAGAACTCAAAAGCGATCAAAAACTAGGAAAATGTGGGCAGGAATAAATAGCAAAATTCTGCTATCAATTAGCTCCAAGTTAAAAAACAACAATGACCTTTCTCTTTCTGATGATTGAGACTGTTTTACGTGGGAATAGTTTGAGCAATTTAAGAGGATAAAGGAATTCGTTTTTATCTCTATTATTGCCGGTTATTTCTGACAAAGGAGATTAACTTACTTTTGTGACATTTCTGGTGAATGAAAACAAGATTAAAGAAAAATCAACATACGGGGTGGAGCGAACATGTGACGTCATTGTTTTTTATGCACAGCCGAATTATACTGCTAGGGATTATGGATTTAACTATTTCAAAGCCTATATTGTGAGAATAGATGCTGTAAATTCACTTTGGTACGAAACTGAAACTGGTCGGAAAAAGCAACAGAATTGGTTTGTGAAAAAAAATAAATCAAGCTGTAACGCTACTTTGACAAAACAACTTTCAAGAATTTTTCCAGTCGAGAGTAAACCACAATATTAGGATTAATCGCACAATACCACCTTAAAAGAAAAGGAACGATTATTTCCGCGCGGGATCAATGCACCATTTCTGCATTGAAAGTATAGATAAATAGAAGACGCACAATTTAGCACGGCAAATTAACCCAATTGAGAATTGAGTTTCAATAATCTCATGTTTTTCAATTTACAGCCAGCACATCAATATACTTAACGATGATTAACAACCTCTCTTTAAACTTGTCTTGAAAAAAAACAGCTAGCAGTTGTACTACAATACTTTTGTTCAAAAATAGGCTCTAAAAAGATAAATATGACCGTTGATTTCTAAAAAGTAGTTTGACTCCTAAAAAGTAGTTTGGGACAAGTGATTTGGGAAGGAACATAAAATAACGTACGAACGTACCGCAGGATTTGTAAAATAACGTTCCACAAGAAAACTACACTGATTTCGATGGATCTCAAAATCAAGCCCTTTTATTTCGATCAATATTTATTTGAAAAAAATACTGTTTTGAAACACCGATTTGAAAATTTTGAGTTTTACTCTCAGACTAAAACAAGTAAACCTAAAAACTAAGAGCGAGTAGAGAGAGATAGAGAAAAGCTGTCCAATAAGGTGTAAAAAAATTAGTCTTTAAGCTTCAGTAAACGTTTCTGAATAAATTTGAACAAGTTGAAAACAATATCTTGTTAAATTTTAAAGAAACGCCAACTCTTGAGCGTCAACTGAATTTGCGATAAACTAACTCAAGTCGTATAACCAAATTACCGCTTCAAAAAAACCTCTTCTGATGAAATTAACCCAAGAAAAGTTTTTTGAACAAAAATCAGGAAGAGTTGGATTTTCTGATTAACTTTCTAATCAGATTAAAGCAATATCAAAAAAATTTAGTTTGTAACATATGCTCCCATTAAGTCATGCTACCAAGTGCGAAAACAGTTCACAAAAAAAAACGAATCAAATAAAAAAGATATAAAATCAAGAAGACCTTTTATTTCTTCAGTAAAAACGGTTCATGATTTCTTCTTCGTTTCTTTGTTAATGGCCGCCAAAAGCAGATGTAGACGGCTCTGATGAAATTTTCAGCTCATTTTAGAGTGGGTACGATGCTTTTGACCCCCAGCTCATTTCTGAACCGGAACGACTGACGACGTATGTGCAACTGACTGTTTTTTAACAGCACCGAACTGCAAACACCTTTGAAGACGAGAAATCGGTGTTAAAATAACATTTGTGATGATGGTGATGATGATGATGATAATGATTATGAACTCACCAGATATGGTTTGAAACTGTAAGCTAAAATATTGCAAAAAAAATTGAAAAATGATTATCAAAACAATAAATTATAAAACTAAATTTAGCAAAAATGGCAACCTCGAAAGTTTACTTTCATTCCACAGATCTTTGTTGAGTGAAGCTAGCTTGCTTGAAATGAGGCTGATGCAGAATGGAAGAAAACTGCTCTTCTCGAATAAACCATTTACACATAGGCAGGCAAAGCTGAACTTGCCAAGCACAAACAAAACAACAGGGTGTATTGAAATGTAAGAGCAATAAGTAACTTAACTTAGAAAAATAGAAAGAAATTTCCACTTACGGAGATCTCAGATGTTTAAAGCGCAAAGTGATATCGCAACATTCAAAGCGCAAAAATGAAAAGTAAAAATGAGATATTATTAATTTTTTAGTCTGATTAAGGATTGAATGCTAGATAAAGTGCTGTAAATCAAATTTCCTTAAATTTGACCCAAGATGATACCACAATTAGAATATTCAATTTTCATTACAATATATTCTTGCAAATCTGGAAAGTCTTTAAAAAGGCGCCCCAGTCCAAACCAGAGCGTCTAATTCGCCCCGGAATTCGTCTAATGCAGAAAGAACCCAAATTCATAGATCAGGCTGATCAACAATCAGCTCGAGCAGGAAAAACTCATTAATCAATTTTATCGGGTTTTTACAATCGAAAAATAACTTGAACGAAAAATCATGAGATGTAACTTCCACTTACCTTTCCGATTGACGTCTAGCAAAACTGCCCAAAAAATGAACGTTTAAAAAAATAGGTTTGAAGCGACAACTAAATGGATTCATTCTATTCTGATTTATCTAACCATTAGAACTTGATATTAAATTCAGTTATCAGTTTAAATGTTTGTTTATCAATAAGATTCCATTTATCAGAAAAAATCACAGCTCGAAAAGACGCATTAAACCGAAAATGGTTCGAGGGAGCCTTACCGATAAAATTTACCGATTAAAAACGAGAAATTCTTGGTCATCTCATAGCAGCTGCGATGCTTTGAATAGTTCAAGAATGACTTTGAATAGTTCGAAAATAAAAACTAGAACTTTGAATTCAAATTGATGATTCGAAGCTAATTGATTTGAACGACCATAAATTGCCATTAACAAAAAGATCAACAAATTAAACACTTGCTGCACAAAAATACATGCAAGTAATCAAGCTTTAGAAAATTGACTGAAAATGGCTCAAAATTTCAAGTGCAGACAAGAGCGTGACATTCTCTAACAAAATCGTGATTCATATAAGCTCATTTTTTAAACTCGAAACAGACGAAATAATCATAAGTGAACAATTGGAGTACCCGGATTTTTTTGCTTCACATTTTTGTGATCAACTCAATATCATAACTTGGAAAAGTATAAAACAAAGCTCCTTTCATTGCTTTTGTGACTAAAAGGTGACTGAAAAGACAAAAGAAAAACTTCAGAAAAAAACGTCAGATAATTGCATATCAAAAAGTTTTCAACAGAACTTCTCGGAACTCAATTATCTGCAACTTTTACATGAATATATAATACAAATGAACATTAAATTTATTCAAACATGCCTAAATCATAAGTGAAGTCCGTGGCAAATAAGCGGACAAAAATAAGCAGACAAACGATATTCTGACAACTTTTTCAAGCTGAATTATTCAGATTTTTAAAACAAATGGTCCTGACCGGACTTAGACTTAGACATATTTCACCCCCTTAACTATGGGCACGCTTGGGGTACGCTCTTCTTCTGCCTGGCGTTTTATGTCTCAAGTTTTAACACAGGCGAAGCTTCGCTTCGCAAACACTTAGCGAGAACAGGACAAAAAAACAACTCTGTAAAGTGCAATAAAAAATAGAAAAAGGCCTCGAATGAGTAAAAATTCGGCTAAGTCTGATATTCGAACTTGCAACCTAGAGATCAAGAGTCTCACACAATAACTACAAATAAAGCAGAAAAGATGCTATGCAATTTCCAATGCTACAGTAAAAATTTCAATTAAAAGAACACTTTTATTTGCGAGTTAGGTTAGAAAAAAGAAGGTTCGCAGTAATATACTCAGTTGATCGTGTAATCATAAAACAAAGTAAAAAAATTCAGCAACTTTGTTATCAATTTTTGAGCAAATTTTTTGTTTTTCTTTGCATTTTTTTGTTGTTGTCAAGACGCCAAAAAATCTTCAAACATTGGTATTCCTCCATTAAAACTATGTTTTTACTTCTTATTTTCGTTTGACAGGCCTGCTCGCTCACTTTATTCGCTCGAAATTAGATCGAAAAGTAAAAAAAAAACTTAAACCTACTTTTTCTCTACGCTTAAAATTTTAATAGTGTTCGAATCAGAACTGCGAGGGCTTTAATATGATGTACGCCTCGACACTCTCCCGGCTTTCATTTGCGGAATCTAATTTAGCGGAGAAAAAACAAAGCGGAAAAAAACATAATAATTTACCAAAATGCATTTCAGCAGTACGCCTACTATACTTGAGCACAAATGTAATAAACATTTGGGCGGAAGAGGCTGGAAAAAGCAAAGCAATTAAATCAACTTAAACAGCTGATAAAACACTGCTAGTCAATTTTTGCTAGCTTCTACTTTTAGCCAATAATGGGAGGGATCTGAAACAAGCAAGTGAAGAAAAAATATTGAACGAATAATAGGGAAAACCCGACTAATAGGCGCTTTTACTAAAAAGTGTACCAACAAGATTTCGTTAAAATTTTAGAATACACTAACGCCTATGGAAACTACGCCGACAAAGATTAAGCAGACGTAATTTCCGTCTGCTTAGTGTTCGAAATCTACTTATTTTAGTTATTTTCTGAAGTCGTAATTTCCAGTTCACAAAAACTGCAGACCCTGGCCATACTCAGGCCCTCAGCCGAGGTCGTTAAAAGCATGGAGCAGCGTGACCGTGTGGGTAACACGCGCCGCCTTTAACACAAAGGTCGTGGGTTCGAATCCCGCTTGTCATGATTCGAGGGGTCCCAGTGTCATTCGTCTCCTCAAGGTAGGACAGGATGCGGCAAAATGGATGAAATCTCTTGGCCACGCCGAATAAAAGATCCAATGATGAGAGATGTGAGCTGGGACGGGGATTAATAAAAAAGCATGGACATTCCTTCTAGACTTAACACACAAAAACGGTTGTTGAATTTCAATAGATAAAAAAACCAAGCTATAGATTGATTCAGATACTATTAGAAAATTTTGAATCCCGAAAAATCTGATGTAATGCTTGCTAATCACCAGCGAAAAAAATATAAACTTGGTTTTGAAAACTTTGCTACAAAAAAAACAAAATTAACAAAAAATCACTACATGTTAACTTCCTGAAAATTATTTGATTGCAACAATACGAAATATTAAAATTGGGTTGGTTCTACAATAAGTCAATGAAGTGCATATTTTTTGAAGCAAAATCCATACTGCAATTTGAAGGCCGCAAAAA